AAAAAAAATCAATAAAATATATTTAAAAAAAAATTAGTTATGAAGTAGCAATGAAAATACTTTTATGGTTGGGGGTCACCACAACATGAGGAACTGTATTAAAGGGTCGTGGTATTAGGAAGGTTGAGAACCACTGCTCTAGAGCCAGAGGGAGTTTGAGGGTGTGAGGTCTAGAATCAGACAACTTGGGAGGCCATGGGGTATGAAAACAGAGTTGGAGGTAATGAAGTCCAGAATGGGAAAGAGCAGAAGACTGAGATCTAGAGTCAGAGGGGTTTGGAGGATGCTAGGTCTACACCAGACCACGTTGGAGGTTGTGCAGTCCAGAACCAGAAAGGTCTGAGGTTGCGCAGTCTGGAACCAAAGACAGTCTGAAGTTGTGTGGTCTAGAACTGGAGAAGGCTGGAGGTTGTATTGTCTGGAAGCAGAGGAAGTTGGAGGCTATACCTGGAGTAGGAGATTCAAGAATAAAGTCAGTGTCCAGGCAAGGCAGGGGCAACAGAAGTCCAGGGTGGAGGAGGTAGCCGGGTAGGCAGAGCTGGGTGGCTGCTTGGGAGGCTAAGGGCTCAATGAGAAGTCGCTGAGTGGGGGGAGGTATGGCCCAGAGGCTCCCCTCCCCATTGACACCTGAGTGGGGGTGTGAAGATCAGAGTCCCACATTCTTATGGACTCCCGGGCGATTCATAGCAATTAAAAACAGCATGAAAAACAAAAATAGGAGCAATAATAAAGAAAGATAGATGGGAAGAAATGTGATTGATTATGGTTATCAATACACCCCAGGGCCTAGAAACACAGATCCCAACCCCAGCCTCCCACCCTTAATTACCCAAAATGAAGCCAAGAGAGTTGGAGAAAGAAATGAGGTAACCAGTATGAAGAACCCCAAGGGAAGTCCTGAGAGACAGAGGAGGAAGGGGCCGGAGACCCCCTCCCAGAGGTCACTGAGCTGAGACCACCCCAAAGAGCCCCCGGATGGGGGAGGGGACAGGGGCGACGACTGAGGTAGGCCCGAGGTGGGCAGGGGCCACTGTTCTTGGCTGCCAGCTTGGAGTGTGGGTGAGGTCCTTTCTGGGAAGAAGAGAGATGAGAAGAGCTGGCTCAGTGGGCCTGGGTCAAGCTTGTCACCGGCTGGAAGTGGCTTTTGGGCTGGGTGGCGTCCTCATCCGGGTAGAGACAGAGCAGTGAACGGCCCAGGCCTGTGGGGGGAGATAGAAGGTAAACCAGTGGGGAATTGTCACCCCCACCCATCGGCCCTTCTTGACAGTTAAAAGTGGGTGATGAGGCAGGCAGTCCTGGATTCAAGTAGCAGTGAAATCTTGGGCAAGTTCTGCTCTCAGGTGTGCAGGGTATTTAGGACAGTAGGTAAGGAGCCTGGAGCCAGACTCTACCTGAGTTTGAATCCAGGCTCTGCTGTTTACTTGCTGTGTGCCCTGGGGCAAGTGACTTGACCTCTCTGTGCCTCAGTTACCTCATCTGTAAAATGGGCCCATAACTGCCTCTCTCCCAAGACCGTTGTGAGGAGTAAATGAGTGAATCCATGGGAAGTGCTCTGAACAATAACTGGTGCTGTTGCTACCTGGGAAACCGAGACACTTCTGTCTACCTCATTTATTGAACACTGTACAAGACATGCCTCTATGGTTCCCCTTCATAGAAAAGAAACAGCATGTAGCCAGTCGGTTACTGAATTTCCCCGGAACAAACAGGACGTGGGGGGTGGGGAGAGGATGTGAGAGCTGTGCACGTGGCTGGTGGCACGTGTTCCAGGAAGATTCCCCTAGACCAGCGGTTCTCAACCTGTGGGTCGCGAAACCCTTTGGGGGTCGAACGACCCTTTCACAGGGGTCGCCTAAATACATCCTGCATATCAGATATTTACATTACGATTCATAACAGTAGCAAAATTACAGTTATGAAGTAGCAACGAAAATAATTTTATGGTTGGGGGTCATCACAACACGAGGAACTGTATTAAAAACACATTGTGCCGAAGCCGGTTTGGCTCAGTGGATAGAGCGTAGGCCTGCGGACTGAAAGGTCCCAGGTTCGATTCCGGTCAAGGGCATGTACCTGGGTTGCGGGCACATCCCCAGTAGGAGGTGTGCAGGAGGCAGCTGATCGATGTTTCTCTCTCATCGATGTTTCCAACTCTCTATCTCTCTCCCTTCCTCTCTGTAAAAAATCAATAAAATATATTAAAAAAATAAATAAAATAAAAACACATTGTCTTCGGGAAACGTATTTATACGTTTTACGTTGACTGTAAGAAGTAGAGCCACCTGTTAGCGCGCGATGAAAACTACCCGCAAACAATGTATTAAAGGGTCGTGGCATTAGGAAGGTTGAGAACCACTGCCCTAGACAAAGGGAGGTGGAGACAGCTAGAAAAGGCCTCAGCCCATTTTTATTTTTTTTTTAATAACCCAATAGGGGACTATAAGACCTAGGCGACGTTTGGGATAGGTTGTGAACTCCATAGTACTCGGCCGAGGAGGGACTGGCGGAGGGACTCGGGCAATAGGATAAATATTGCCTGTGCTAGCGAATTCCAGTGTGCCTGCCACAAGGGACAGCCCCCGAGAGGGGAGTCTGTCATTTGAATTCGGACAGGTGAGCATTTTCTCGCAACACCTACTGTGTGCCAGGCACTGGGGACACAGCAGTGAACGGGATGGATGAAACCCCATAACCTTGTGGGGCTGGCATTCCAGTTAGGGGAGTCAGTTAGATCATGTATGTAAATTTAGCACAAATCTTGGCAGAGTGAGGGTTAGATAAATGTTAGCTCTTCCTTTACAAATATATACTGAGGATCCGCTCCGTGCCCAGCCACTGGCCAGCCTGCCCATACAGCAGTGACCAAGATGGGCCTGGCCCTTGCCTTCACAGGGCTCACACCCACAGGGAGAGGGAGAAGGCAGCCAATTACCAAATAGCTACACAGTCACCTATGTCAGTGGTCGGCAAACCCATTAGTCCACAGAGCCAAATATCACCAGTACAGCGATTGAAATTTCTTTTGAGAGGCAAATTTTTTAAACTTAAACTATATAGATAGGTACATTGTTATTAACTTCATTAGGGTGCTCCTAAGCTGGCCTTTGCTAAAAACGTCCTCAATCTGATTGAGGTACGTTCGCTGAGGGCGACCCCTTCTAACTCTCCCATCCACACTCGTTTTGTATATTTGTTTCATCTATCTTTTGTCACCCGCGCGATTTTCGGATGCGACTAGCACTAACCACTGCACAATGAGACTGCTGACTGACTGGCTCAGTCAACTCGTGCATGAATCGTGCACGCCTCCCCCGGCGCTGCCTATCCCGAGGCCCGTCTTCCCAGAGGCCCCCCCTCCTTTGCTTTCTCCCGCCTCTCTAATCTATCACCAATGGATTTCATGTGACCCACTAACGTCTCCTTTGAATGTAATGTATAAAACAAGGTGAAAAACCACCATTCTCCGGAGCATTATCCCAATACGTTGAGATTTTGCTTCCTGGCAATGGTCAACAGGTTGGCTCAAATAAACTCGCAAAAATTCTTGACGGGTTTGAATGTTTTTAGGTTAACAACTCTGAACTGTCTCCCTCACTAGAATGTCAGCTCTGCAAGGGCAGAGATGTCTATGTTTTGTTCACAGTGTGTCTCCAGCTCCTAGGACAGTGTCTGGCATTTCCTGTGTGTTCTACGTGTATAAAAGGACAGAATCACTCTAAAGACAGCAACTGTGGCTGAAACAGAGGGTGTGAAGAAGCAGAGTGTGGTCTGAGATGAGGCCTGCAGGAGGCAACCAATCGATGTGTTTCTCTCACATTGATATTTCTCTCTGTCTTTCCCTCTCTCTCTTCCACTCTCTCTAAAAATCAATGGAAAAAAAGAAGGAAAAATATCCTTAAGTGAGGTTTAAAAATAATAATAATAATTTTTAAAAAAACTTCTGCACTCTGCAGAGGTGCCATGGAAGCAGTGTGGCACTGAAGCAGGCATTTCTTAAGCATTTACTATGAACAGGTCTCGTGCTAAGCTTTCCCTGTGTCACGAGTCTTTAAGCATCTCCCTGAGGTAAGAACTATTACGATAGATCCTAATTGACGGGGTGGGGGTGGAACAGA